ATTTCCTTGACATTTAACTAAAGAAGCAGATAAATATTCATCTATTTCAGAAACCTTTAACGATGATCCAATTCCAGACCCACCAGTTAGCTCAACTACCATTACATGTCTATCAAAACTTACACTTTTACCTCGGCTTGAACTCGAAGGCGTCGAAGCTGCAGACTGTTGTGCAGCTACACCATGTCTAGCTACGTACTCATCATATAAGGTTATAAAATAATTTCTAATAGCTAAATGATGAGAAGTAGTAGTACTAATGGATCCATCATTTAACTCTATAACATGTCCACCATACAATGATTGTAACAAACTTCAAAAGCCAATATCCTTCAAACATGGATCAATAAGAACCCCCAAACCACAAAAATAAGAAATATGCCTAAAATACTTATTAAATTTGCTCTCCATTAAAAAAATTATACTTCCAAAAGTATCATTCATACGATATTTGTTAAAAAAATTTGTAATATTTAAAATTTGTAAAGCAGCTAAAGTAATAGTTGGGTAATAACAACCAGATAATAACATAGTAGCATCATAAAAAACTTATAACATCTCATTTAAATTACATATAATTATCCATTCATCTTCAGTTTTTCCATAAGAGCTACCAGAGCTAGAACTAGAAGCAAAATAATTTATAAAATTATTTATAATTTCTTTATATTCTATAGCTACACTTAACATTGCATAGGTGGAATTCCACCTATGGTCAACATCTTTTGGAATTAGTCTAGCCTTAATATTTTTTTTTACACATTTGTTTCCATCTTTTAAGTCTTTCTTCAGAAGCAATATGCATATAAGCAACTATTCTAATATTTTCTATCATAGGTTTAATTTCAGTAAATACACTTTGAAAAATTAAATTTAAAATATGGCATATACATCTAATATGAAAAAGTTCATCATGACAGGGCAATGACAGAGTTATTTTGAGAAAATCTATATCTGCATTGTTATTACTTGCATTATCTAGTAAAAGAGAAAATATTCTTTGATCAATTTCTAGTTTCATAAGTTCTTCAACTATTAAATTGGTTACATTAATACCAATATGTGACTCTTCAATTGCAATAAAAGAAATAACTATTTTAAACATTTGATAATTTTCATAAATCCAGTATGCTGTGATACATAAATAACCTGTTTGTGCTCTAGATGTCCAAATATCAGAAGTTAAAGAAAATCCAGTATGCTGTGATACATAAATAACCTGTTTGTGCTCTAGATGTCCAAATATCAGAAGTTAAAGAAAATTTACAGTTTAAATTTTTAAAATAAAAGTTAAAGAAAATTTACAGTTTAAATTTTTAAAATAAGAAATTATTTTTCCTTGTTCCGTTTGATAATATTTTAAAATGTTAGGTTGACAGGTTTGACGAGAAATTTTTTTAAAATCGAGATAAAAACCATCTCTAAACAAATCTTCAAATTCATCATCTTCTACTAATTTAAAAGGAATGTTTTTAAGAATGATAAACCTGATGATGCATTTTCTAGCTCGGGTAGCGTCATAATTCCAAGTACCGAGACTACGAGAAGAGGGGGATTGGAAATCATAGATTGTCAGATATCACCTTAAGGAGTCTGGCCTTTGTTGTGTTTTTCTATATGGCGTTTGAGGTGATTGGTGTCGCTCTTATGATGAGCTTGAAAAGTCCGGCCGCACAACGCACATTTAGTCTTCTGGGTGAGGATCCTACCGTGTTCATCCTTGGTGACGTAAAAAATTTCACACATCGGATCTTGGCCTTTTAGAAGCTCTTGGTGCAGATTCGTCGCCACCGAATTCGGGATTACCACTGGTAGGATCGGTAGGAGTAGCTGTTGTTGTAGGAGGACTCATTTCAATATCGGTAGGAGATAGATTTTGTTCTTCATAATCAGATCCAGAAGCCATTTGATGAAAGGATTATAAAGCATAAGAGATTGTAAGAGAGTATAAGATTGTATAAGAGAGTATCAGAGAGAAGTAGATGAGTTTTGGTGTGAGGAGAAGAAGTGAAAACCCCTCTCTATTTATAGAGGCAGCCTTCTAGGAAAATGACCAAAAAGCCATCGTCAAATAGCCGTTTTTTGACCGTTTTAAGGGGCAAAACAGTCAAAACGCAAAAAATAATCGTTTTGACCGACCCGGCCCGGCCTGGCCAAACGGTCACAAATCTGACCGT